ATATATATATATACACCAACTGGCAATGTCGACAGCATACAAGTACGGAAGTTTCATATATATAGAAAGTGTTTTAACAGAGTTTATAACAATAAAATATCCGTAGAAATTGCCCTCTTACATCGTTAAATATTTGAGTTTAACAACTTCAAGTAACAATTATAAATATGAATGCTGGTCCTTATTTTAAGAAGTAAGGGGGTACAAATGAAAAGATTTGATTTCCATTTCACTGAAACATCAGTTAAACACTTCTATCTTCTTTTTCTTTCTTTCTCTTATTCATTTATTTTCTCTTTGAAACCAAGTAATGTCTTTTCTCCTCTTTCCACGGGATCAAAACGGAATAGTCCATTATTTATGAGGCATTGGCAAGCCGTAACGGTCGGGCAAACTACCGAAGGGAAGGACAAACACAATTAAAAGAAAATAATAATAATAAGGAATCTTTCAAAGTGACTCCCTGTCTCCCCTTCTATTCTGCCTATCCTTAATCCCCCTTTCGCACGGACTAAACAGTAATAACTATTAATATAAAATAAGCAAAACGTATTTAATTTCTTATTGTACCTTGATAATCTCAAACTCTTAGCCAAAGACAACAATGATTTGAAAGGTCTCCTCAATACAGCAAAAAGGTTTCAGTGAAGACATCAGTATGGATTTCGGATTAGATAAATGTGCAAAAGTAACATTAAAGAAAGGGAGAATTACAGTAACAGACTGAATAGATCTAAATTTTGTCATAAAGATTATGGAATTGACACAAGAAGAAGCCAATAAATACGTAAGAGTCAGCGAAGGAGATGGAATACAGCATGCCCAAATGAAGGAGAATATAAGAAAAGAATATGACAGGCGTGTGCATCTGGTGTTAAATACCGAATTGAATTGACAAAACAGAATATCAGCAATAAAAAAAAAACTTTTGTCTGTCTGTGGGGTGCAATACAGTTTCAACATCGTTAACTGGACCATAACTGACATTAAGCGAATGAATGTTAAAACGAGAAAAGCTTCTCATTTGCCACTTCATGCATCATCCTAAAGTCGATGTTGATCGTCTGTATGCGCCCAGATCCAAAGGAGGAAGAGGATTAGTTCAACTAGAACAGTTATAAAAAAACTACAACAATCGGTCTTCAAAGATACCGGAAAACTACAAAAGACTGGGTGATGATCTGCGTCAAAAAACATGAAAGAAATAAAACATTTTATTCAGTAATAAAGGAAGTCAAAAAGTTCAAAAGGGAATTTCGAGTGAAGAAATGCAAGTAAGTTTTAATACACCTACTGCAGCGGCGATTAACCTAAAAAGAAAGCAAAAACAAATGCAACTGACCAGATGCAGAGACGATGGCAAGATAAGCTTCTTCGTGGTCAATACGCTGCCCGTGACAAAGAAGCTGATGTAGTCAAACCCCCATAGCCATCAGTGGTTACTTGGTACCGGAGGTTTTATTCTTGCTGCACGGGTCCAGTGATTGCAAACTTGAAATTAACAAGCATAAAAAGTGTGTTGACGCAAAATGCAGATTCTGTTATAAATATCCAGAAACAATTGGCCATCTTGTATCAGACATGATAGAGTGAGACAAAATCTACCATGGAAAATATGCAACTTTTACGGCAAGAAACTGGAATAAACATCACTCAGATTCAATTCAAGTGATTGGACTTGTAACAATTTTATAGGAATTTCCAATACACACAGGCAGAACAATCAAAGCTCAAAACTCCCAGATATCGTGATCATAAACCACAAGAATTAAATGTGCTTTTTTTTTAATCGATATGGCAGTCCCAGCAGATTGTAATATATTTTTGAAGATCTTCAAAAAACTATCAAATATACAAAGATCTTAAAATAGAAATCTCAAAGTATTGATCTTGGGAAATGTTTCGGAATATATTTATATTTTCATGAAATAAAATATGCCATATATGTTCCCACTTACGTTTTTATTAAACCTATTCGCAATAACATATTTGGTTGTGTAAGTTTTTATCATAGAACTTGAGGGTTATTCAACATATGGGAACTAAACATATATAATGCTTTAGTTTTTGATATATATTTTCAATTTCAGATATAACAAGATGTCCATGGGTCATAAATCATATAATCTCAAAAGACATACAAGATATTGTAAACTTATTGCGTGATAGGAACAGAACAAATAAATTAAAATACCGATTTTTAATCAATTTCACTGAGTTAAGGCGATAATGTCACTAAGATGCAAGAGGCTACTAGGAGTAAAAGAGAATTAGACTTTAGAAAGAACCGGAAACCCAATCTTAAAAAGGAAACAAGGGAGAAATATACACCTATACAAAAGACAAAAGAGAAGCGTGAACCGGTCTTTAAAAGTTATAAAGGAATTTGAAAATATTGGCAAGATGGTGAAAAAATAATTTTAATAAGGTCGGAAAAAATATCTGAGAAAAATTTTAAAATGGTTGGAATTAACTGGATTTTTTTTTTTTTTGCAATCTACTTGCTTCAGAAAAACAAAAGTTCTTTCGTTATCCATCGAATTGGTTTAACGTCACCAATTCAACTACTAGGGCAGGGGAGGGGGCGATTTTGGAGCCTTTCGATTGCACTCAATGGTACTAAATAAGGAGACAATATATTTTCAAAATCATTACCGTTTTTTGAAGAAATAAGTTTGAAGATTAAGTTAAGTATCTGTCTATATTTCTGAGATGAGGTATTATGTACACTATTTACATTATTCGGACTATTGTCCTCATCTTTGTTGCCATATTTATCACAACGTTTCGGCCTTTCTGTATCTGTCTATATTTCTGAGATGAGGTATTATGTACACTATTTACATTATTCGGACTATTGTCCTCATCTTTGTCGCCATCTTTATTACAACGTTTCGGCCTTTCCGTATCTGTCTATATTTCCGAGATGAGGCATTATGTACACTATTTACATTATTCGGACTATTGTCCTAATCTTTGTCGCCATCTTTATTACAACGTTTCGGCCTTTCAGTATCTGTCTATAATTCTGAGATGAGGTATTATGTACATTATTTACATTATTCGGACTATTGTCCTCATCTTTGTCGCCATATGTATTACAAAGTTTCAGCCGTTGTACGCTCCGACCTCCCTCAGGTGTTTGGAATGTCGAACTGAACCCTTTATTTCGCTCACTGGGGTAGACTGTTCTAGTTCCACGTGCCATGTTTTAATGGATATCAGTTATCAGTTATCTCCTGTTAATTCCCCCTCTCCAAGTTCTCCACTGCCTTAACCAGGTATTGAACTTACTCTCTTTGGTCCTGTCACTGGATCTACCTAACGCCTTTATCTACTGTGCCATGTGTCCAACCACCTGAAGAAGGCCGGAGCGTACAACGACCGAGAAGTAATAAATATGGCGACAAAGATGAGGACAATAGTCTGAATAATGTAAATAGTGGTTAAGTTTAGGTTCAAAATCATAACTTTAGGCTTTAATTCCGGTGATCAGTGAAAGCCTTATAGCACAACCTTTTAAGATTTATAATTTTCTGAAGCTTTATAAATTATATATGAAAAGGATGCAAGGCACATGCACATTATTACTAAATCTTTGTGCCATCAAATAAGACCTTCATTCATTTCAAAGGAAAATTATACTGAAAAATTTAGCTATATTATGATGTAATAGGTTATACGGTGCAGTTGTTTTAGTGTGATTTTCAATAAACAATGCAAATTTAAAACATTTTGTCTTATAAGATACATAATTGCCTAAGCGTGTATCACTCATGGCACATAACTGACTATAAATCTTTATTAAATAAAATACTCTACTAAATCAACCAGTTTTCCAAATAGTAGTGTGGTATTACATTATAGTCTATAAAAGTCGTGGGAGGGCAAACTAGAGACCAGGAGGAGAAATGACCAACCCTTGCCTGTATAATTACCAATGATCATGTAGTGATCACGTGAAATAAATAAAAAAAATATCCCATGAAGAAAGAAAACCATCCTACTGACGGGAAATTTAGAGCCCTTCCTCTTTTCAGTCAGCCTCTTACAAGGAGAGCACGGGGAATTGAGCAGCTTCAGACATGAAGACTACAGATAAGTCAACTTATCCAAATATCACTTTGTCTTGTTAAATATCACCTTTACTGATAGACATGTTACTTTAAATAATCTCTTCATTCACCAACATAAACACCTACCAGAAATATTCTATTTGCAACCGCATTACAAGAACTTTTATACTCCACCGAATTTGTACAACAGAATCCTTCGGAAAATAAATCCTCCTTATGTATTATAAATGACCCACTTTCTTATTAGGATGAATATATGTTGTATTTTAAGTAATTATAACGGGAGTCAAGCAAGGCTCAAAATAACAAAAATTCTAAAACAAGCATGGCTAAGAATCGTTATATCCTTTTGGGGATAAGCCAAAACTATATGTTGATGTTGTAAGTATAGACTTCACTAATTCCTAATCTTCTTCTACTACTGAAACCTTGGCATATTTTATTGCCACGAACTGTTATTTGTCCTGGGTAACATACATCCGGCAGACAAGGTCTCTGATTGGAAAATTGGAGATTTTTGAGGTTCTGTCTTAGGGGCATTATCGCCATCTTCTCTCTTCCTGAAACCTGTTCCTTTATTGTCCTTTCTCCTCACTAAAGTCTTCTCATTCTCTTTTATACCCAGTAACCCCTTGTGTCTTAGTGGCATTATCGCCATCTTCTGCCTTCCTGAAACCTGTTCTTTTATTGTCCTTTCTCCTCACTAAAGTCTTCTCATTCTGTTTCACTCACAGTAACCCCTTGTGTCTTAGTGACATTATCGCCATCTTCTGTCTTCCTGAAACCTGTTCTTTTATTGTCCTTTCTCCTTACTAAAGTCTTGTTATTCTCTTTCACTCCCCGTAACCTCTCGGATGAACATGACGGGTCGGGTAGAAGAGACTGACCGAGTTCCTCCATAAATTTTTATATTATCCTTGCTTTATGCGGACTTGCGATTTCAAAGATGAGAACAACATTTCCTTTAAAATCCCTTCGTTGTTGCAGAATCGGTTAAGACACGTGAGATCTAACGAAGGTTTACCTCTCCTCAGAGGGAGGGTGACGAGTTCGAATCCTACCGGAGACTCCAATTTTAATAATATTTCAGGCCAGCAAAAGTAAACAAATATACTCAAATATGAGAACCTAAAAATAAAATTTATTTTTATATATATATATATATATATATATATATATATATATAAACACTTTAAACGTTATTTTTAGATATATGACGATATATAATTCTGTATAATTTTATATATAAATAAACAGTATGTAGAAAAGGATATTACAAACTGTAATGATTTTTTGTGTGTGTGTGTGTGTGACGCGTCCCAGTCCGATGAAATGCCTCATCAAAAAAACTTTCTAGTTTGTACTATTTTTCCTATATATATATATATATGTATACGGAATAAATTCCAATAACCAACAATTATTATTCTTAAAAGAGTGCTCAATACAGAGTAGAGCAAATATAATTATTTATTTGAAAATTATAATATAAATATGTTGATGTAGATTGTAGATTTCTACAATCTACATTCAACATCATCACTTGATAAGACAGCAAAAGTATTGAAACAAAATGGCTATTTTTTGTAGTCATTTTATAACATATTTATGTTATAATATTTAAATAAATAATTATATATATATATATATATATATATATATATATATATATATATATATATATATATAATAAAAAGGCTTAAACACTAATATTCCGTGGTCATGATTTATTCCATTGGAATCGTAAATACGATCCAATTCATCAGACCTACAAATTCAAAAAGAAAACAGAAAAAACAACTCCGGAAATAAAAATAAGATTTAGAGAGAGTGTAAGTATGAGAGTGTGGGAGGAATGTTAGAGCTAAAGAGAGGGGTAACAGACGAGAGAAGGTGAGGGATTAAAACTTAACAGAGAGACGTATTTCATAATTCATTCCATTGGATTTTTTCATAATTTATTCCATTATATATATATATATATATATATGTGTGTGTGTGTGTGTGTGTGTGTGTGTGTGTGTGTGTGTGTATTTTTGTGTGTGTGTATTTTTGTGTGTGTGTATTTTTGTGTGTGTATGTGTGTATGCGTTTATATATATATATATATATATATATATAGGGTGCAAGGGGTAAACTGCCATCTAAATTATGCAAATAAACTAACATTTTAACAGATATATTTACCAAAATTGTACAAAATTATCTTGAAATTCTAAAGAGAAATTAAAAAAAAAATCTTCCTTGGCTTCAAGCAAGGCCTGCAGACAACTTCGAAATCTCCTGCAACTTTTCTAGACGGTCTCCTTATTTAAGTTGATGAATGCTGCCATAATCCTTGCCTTCACTTGACCATTGGTGTTACAAGGAATTTTGGCTGGTCTCTCGCTCAACTATGCTCCCACACATACTAATCAAGGGGGTTGCAGTCTGGGGAGTTAGGCGGCCAAATGTAAGTGTTGCGGTGGTCGCAGAAATTGTCTAACAACGATGACTGTGTTCACCTGCTTGTGTGGCATGGTGCAGAGTCCTGTTGCCAGACATAAGGTCCTCCAGCAGTCACCTTCTTCCCCCAAGGCAGCACTACTTTCTCAAGGCCCTTGATGTAGGCCCTCGTGTTGAGTTTGAGGCCCCATGAGAAAATGAATGGAGGCATAACGTCCCCATCACTTGCCATTACTCCAAACACCTTAATGTAGTCTGGATATATCATTCAACTCTGTCCTCAGATTGACATCAATGTTCATATTGGAGCTTCTGTCACAATGAAGCTTTGCCGATCAAGCAAGATATGAACAGTGCATTTAAGCGAAATCCCCTTCGTCAAAGATTCTTCAAAATCATCACATCTCCTCAGTTTCGTAGCCAAACGAATATAAAGTAATTTTCAAAAGAAGTAATAGATTTTCTATTATTAATCCAACAGGTTGTTTATCACTTAAACTTTATTTCTAATAGATATCAATATTTGAGTAGACGGTCTGTTCATTTATTTAAAGGTATATACATTTATTTTCGACTACCGGCTGGAGAGCAAACATTTTACTTCAATAAGATTTCTTGAATATTTAAGCCAGTAGACGAAAATAAATAAATATACTTTATTGCGGTTACATTTTTGAGGATCAAAGTCGATTGGAAATCAACAAGTCCAAAAAGAGTTCCACAAGAGAGAAGAGCGAAAAAAGAAACTGTTAGCATAGAACTTACGGTTAAATTTTACCATTTCAACTGTAAAATAATGTAAATATATTTTATTTATATTTCTTTCATTTGCTTTTGTTAGTTTTATTTGTTTTCATCTTATAATGAATTTTCATTTATTGAAATATTGACAATAATTAATTTTTGACTAGAATTTCTAATTTTAGTTCGTGTTTTTTTTAATTTTAGTTCGTGTTTTTTTTATCGTTTAAAGTCAATGAAGCCACTAGGATTTAAGAGGTTACTTGGTGTTAGACAATATGAGAAAAACTACTATTAAAGAGAGAGGACAATAAAAGAAGAAGAATTAAGAAAACAGACGCTAAAGATTGAGATTGCATAAATTTTTGGAAGATCAAAGGCAATAAAGCCACTAGGACGCAAGGGTGTTACTGAGTGTTAGAGAATATGAGAAATAAAATTACTATTAAGGAGAGAGGACAATAAAGCCACTAGGATGAAAAGGGTTACTGAGTGTTAGAGAATATGAGAAAAACTACTATTAAGAAGATAGGACAATAAATGAACAAAGAAGACAGAAGATAACGATTGACATTACATTAAAAGTTTTGAAGATTAACGTTGACCGGGAAGAAAGAAGCGGGAAATGTGATAGAAGAAAATGTTACGGTTACATCTATAGCCATTTCAACTGTAAAATGAGAAGAAGAGCGCATCGTACTGCACTTAAATTCATATAGTCTAGGTACCAGAGCTCGTCAGAATAATTATCATGAAGTTACCTTATGGTGGTGAGAAAGTGACTGACGTCGAAATGCCAGGTCTGGACCAATAATATTGCAGATTCCTCTTTAGATTTTATCAAGTGTCTCTAAATATATAGCAGATACATTTAGACCAGATATGGCAGCAATATTCAAAGCTAGGACAAATGGTAGATTTATAGATATGTAAGATAGATTCTGGAGGTAAAAAGTGTCTTGAATGCTACAGTGAAGTAGCTTTCCTTGCTGCAGACTTGAGAATTGAGTCTACGTAATCTTTCCACTTCCCGACAGCTTTAAGCGAAATACGAGTCATTTCCCTGGAGGCAAGTATCATGCCTGTTGACGGAAGGCAAAAACGGTTCTTTAGGGAAGTTAAATAAAGTAATTCAACAAGAAGAGATACATTATTGATTTTTCTTAAATTAAATAGCGAGAAACAGAATGTAACAGATGAAGCTAATCATCTCTGTTAACCGGTTTAAAAAAACGCATCAAAAATCTTACACCCATTAAAGTATTAACACATTACGACAAGGGAGAGAAATCAGAAAAAATTGTTTTAGAGTTGTTTCCCTTCAATCGTCATTTCGATTGTACAATGATTTGTTAATAACAATGTTTCGATAAGAAACAAAAATGGAAAAATAACAATTAAAATAAATTTCACGTTATATAGATATTTTATTCAGATAAACAATTCCAAAGTAATACAATTTCCTGTCTGTTAAATAATTTCCAATAGACAGGATTATCTATAAATCAAATTGTCATCAAAGCAAGAAATATTTTCTTGAACTGAACAAAATATGGTTTATTAATACAACTCTCCTGACAATTTAGTCTCTTCAAACAATCTATCTATCTATCTATCTATCTATCTATCTATCTATCTATCTATCCCAGTTTATTCATATCTATCTATATATCTATAAAAGCCTTTTCATTATTTCTTTATCTATCTCAGTCTATTCATATCTGTCTATCTATCTTTCTATCTATCTCAGTCTGTTACCTATATATATATATATATATATATATATATATATATATATATATATATACAAAAGTCTATTCATATGTATGTATGTATGTATGTATCTATCTATCTATCTGAGTCTGTTCAGATCTAAGTCTGTTCAATCTATCTGCCTGTCTATCTATCTATCTCATTTTGCCTATATCTATCTATGTTCATATCTATCTATGCATCTACCTTTCTCAGTTTATTGATATATATCTATATATCTATAAAAGCCTTTTCATTATCTCTCTATCTTTCTCAGTCTATTCATATCTATCTATCTATCTACCTATCTATCTATCTATCTATCTATCTATCTCATTCAGTTCCTATCTATTTATTTCATTCTGTTCCTATCTATCTATCTATCTATCTCATTCAGTTCCTATCTATTTATTTCATCCTGTTCCTATCTATCTATCTATCTATCTATCTATCTATCTCATTCAGTTCCTATCTATTTATTTCATCCTGTTCCTATCTATCTATCTATCTATCTCATTCAGTTCCTATCTATTTATTTCATTCTGTTCCTATCTATCTATCTATCTATCTATCTCATTCAGTTCCTATCTATTTATTTCATCCTGTTCCTATCTATCTATCTATCTATCTCATTCAGTTCCTATCTATTTATTTCATTCTGTTTCCTATCTATCTATCTATCTATCTATCTCATTTCATTTCAGTTCCTATCTATTTATTTCATTCTGTTCCTATCTATCTATCTATCTATCTATCATTCATCTTCCTATCTATTTATTTCATCCAGTTCCTATCTATTTATCTATCCTATCTATCTATCTCATTCATTCAGTTCCTATCTATTTATTTCATCCTGTTCCTATCTATCTATATCTATCTCATTCAGTTCCTATCTATTTATTTCATTCTGTTCCTATCTATCTATCTATCTATCTCATTCAGTTCCTATCTATTTATTTCATTCTGTTCCTATCTATCTATCTATCTATCTATCTCATTCAGTTCCTATCTATTTATTTCATCCTGTTCCTATCTATCTATCTATCTATCTATCTCATTCAGTTCCTATCTATTTATTTCATTCTGTTCCTATCTATCTATCTATCTATCTCATTCAGTTCCTATCTATTTATTTCATTCTGTTCCTATCTATCTATCTATCTATCTCATTCAGTTCCTATCTATTTATTTCATCCTGTTCCTATCTATCTATCTATCTATCTATCTATCTATCTATCTATCTATCTACCTATCTATCTATCTATCTATCTATCTATCTCAGTCTGTTCATATCTATCTAAGTCTGTTAAATTTTTCTATCTATCTGTCTGTCTGTCTATCTATTTATCTATGTTCATATCTATCTATATATGTAATATCTCGCCAATACACAATTTTTACCAATTGTAGTATTTTAAAATGGTTTTAATTTAACAAAATACAATAAACAAAAAGAAATACAGGGAAGTAAAAAAAAAAAAAAACTCTACTGAATCAAATTCGAAATTTAAATGTTCTTTTTGTTTAAAATTTCTATTTCCTTCCTATCCCAAATTCCTTTTCCGAATCCTAAAATTTCTATCTGAATCATAAATTCCGACGCCCCAGTGTTTCCTAATGTTAAACATTAGCTTCTAAAAAGATCTTTTAAAAGATGACAAATTCCCACATTCATACAAAACTTGGTGGAGTTGTACATTCCATAGGAGATCGTCGCCAGGTTTTTCAAAATACATTTTTCAAAGCATAAATGTGTACATATGGACCATTATTTAAAATGTGCAATTTTATTTAAAATATTATCCGCTTAATTCTGCATTTGTCTCGGACTGAAGTCGTGTCTCTTAAGGAGGAAGAGAATTTTTTTTAAATTATTAGACATTTTGAATTAGAATTGTTGATAATATCCAAATATGTTTATAAATCTAACATTTTGCTAAACTGACTTTATGTCGTGTTTCGCGCTCGTTAAAATCATCTTCCTCAGATCAGAATGAAAGAAATCTGCGTGTGTGTGATAACAAACTATCTCTCTTTCTTAAAATAGAAATATAGAAAAAGTATTTGTTTATATATCTGAGATGAGGTAGGGTAATTAGTAAGGAAAATTATTTACCTAAATATTAAATGATCTCGAATAATTATTAGTTTAATTATTAGATCGAAATTGCAATCGCCTGAAGAAAATCGAGGCGTACAACAGCCGAAACGTCGTGAATATGGCAATAAAGATGAGGATAACAGTCCAAACAATTGTAAATAATCTGTCTATATTTCTGAGATGAGGTATTATGTACATTATTTAAACTATTCGAACTATTGTCCTCATCTTACTTGCCATATTTATCACAATATTTCGGCCTTTCAGTATCTGTATATATTTCTGAGATGAGGTATTATGTACAATATTTACATTATTCGGACTATTGTCCTCATCTTCGCTGCCATATTTATTACAACGTTTCGGCCCTTCAGTATCTGTCTATATTTATGAGATGAGGTATTATGTACATTATTTACAATATTCGGAGTATTGTACTCATCTTTGTTGCCATATTTATCACAACGTTTTGTCCTCTCAGTATCCGTCTATATTTCTGAAATGAGGTATTATGTACACCATTTACATCATTCGGACGATTGTCCTCATCATTGTTGTCATATTTATCACAACGTTTCGTCGTTTCAGTATCTGTCTATATTTCTGAGATGAGGTACTATGTACACTATTTACATTATTCGGACTATTGTCCTCATATTTGTCGTCATATTTATCACAATGTTTCGTCCTTTCAGTATCTGTCTATATATCTGAGATGAGGCATTATGTACACTATTTATATTATTCGGACTATTGTCCTCATCTTTGTTGCCATATTTATCACAACATTTCGGCCTTTCAGTATCTGTCTATATTTCTGAGATGAGGTATTATGTACACTATTTATATTATTCGGACTATTGTCCTCATCTTTGTTGCCATATTAATCACAACGTTTCCTCGTTTCAGTATCTGTCTATATTTCTGAGATGAGGTATTATGTACACTATTTACATTATTCGGACTGTTGTCTCATCTTTGTTGCCATAATAATACAAAGTTTCGGCCTTTCTGTATCTGTCGATATTTCTGAGATGAAGTATTATGTACACTATTTACATTATTCGGACTATTGTTCTCATCTTTGTTGCCATATTTATCACAACGTTTCGTCTTTTCAGTATCTCTATATTTCTGAGATGAAGTATTATGTACACTATTTACATTATTCGGACTATTGTCCTCATCTTTGTTGCCATATTTAATACAACGTTTCGTCCTTTCTGTATCTGTCTATATTTCTGAAATGAGGTATTATGTAAACTATTTACATTATTCGGACTATTGTCCTCATCTTTGTCGCCATATTTAACACAACGTTTTGTCCTTTCAGTATCCGTCTATATTTCTGAGATGTGGTATTCAGTACACTATTTACATTATTCGGAGTATTGTCCTCATCTTTGTTGCCATATTTATCACAACGTTTCGTCTTTTCAGTATCTCTATATTTCTGAGATGAAGTATTATGTACACTATTTACATTATTCGGACTATTGTCCTCATCTTTGTTGCCATATTTGATACAAAGTTTCGTCCTTTCAGTATCTGTCTATATTTCTGAGATGAGGTATTATGTACACTATTTATATAATTCGGACTATTGTCCTCATCTTTGTTGCCATATTTAATACAACGTTTCCTCCTTTCAGTATCTGTCTATATTTCTGAGATGAGGTATTACGTACACTATTTACATTATTCGGACTGTTGTCTCATCTTTGTTGCCATATTTAATACAAAGTTTCGTCCTTTCTGTATCTGTCTATATTTCTGAGATGAAGGTATTATGTACACTATTTATATTATTCGGACTATTGTCCTCATCTTTGTTGCCATATTTAATACAACGTTTCGTCCTTTCAGTATCTGTCTATATTTCTGAGATGAGGTATTATGTACACTATTTATATTATTCGGACTATTGTCCTCATCTTTGTTGCCATATTTAATACAACGTTTCGTCCTTTCAGTATCTGTCTATATTTCTGAGATGAGGTATTATGTAAACTATTTATATTATTCGGACTATTGTCCTCATCTTTGTTGCCATATTTAATACAACGTTTTGTCATTTCAGTATCTGTCTATATTTCTGAGATGTGGTATTCTGTACACTATTTATATTATTCGGACTATTGTCCTCATCTTTGTTGCCATATTTATTACAAGGTTTCGGCCTTTCAGTATCTGTCTATATTTCTGAGATGAGGTATTCTGTACACTATTTACATTATTCGGACTATTGTCCTCATCTTTGTTGCCATTTTTATCACAACGTTTCGTCCTTTCAGTATCTGTCTATATTTCTGAGATGAGGTATTACGTACACTATTTATATTATTCGGACTATTGTCCTCATCTTTGTTGCCATATTTAATACAACGTTTCGGCCTTTCAGTATCTGTCTATATTTCTGAGATGAGGTATTACGTACACTATTTATATTATTCGGACGATTGTCCTCATCTTTGTTGTCATATTTATTACAACATTTTTCCTCGTTTCAGTATTTGTCTATATTTCTGAGATGAGTTATTATGTACACTATTTACATTATTCGGACTATTGTCCTCATCTTTGTTGCCATATTTAATACAATGTTTCGGCCTTTCTGTATCTGTCTATATTTCTGAGATGAAGTATTACGTACACTATTTACATTATTCGGACTATTGTCCTCATCTTTGTTGTCATATTTAATACAACATTTCGTCCTTTCAGTATCTGTCTATATTTCTGAGATGAGGTATTATGTACACTATTTACATTATTCGGACTATTGTCCTCATCTTTGTTGCCATATTTAATACAACATTTCGTACTTTCAGTATCTGTCTATATTTCTGAGATGAGGTATTATGTACACTATTTACATTATTCGGACTATTGTCCTCATCTTTGTTGCCATATTTATCACAACGTTTTGTCCTTTCAGTATCTGTCTATATTTCTGAGATGAGGTATTATGTACACTATTTACATTATTCGGACTATTGTCCTCATCTTTGTTGCCATATTTAATACAACGTTTCGTCGTTTCAGTATCTGTCTATATTTCTGAGATGAGGTATTATGTACACTATTTATATTATTCGGACTATTGTCCTCATCTTTGTCGCCATATTTAATACAACGTTTCGGCCTTTCAGTATCTGTCTATATTTCTGAGATGAGGTATTATGTACACTATTTATATTATTCGGACTATTGTCCTCATCTTTGTTGCCATATTTAATACAACATTTCGGCCTTTCAGTATCTGTCTATATTTCTGAGATGAGGTATTATGTACACTATTTACATTATTCGGACTATTGTCCTCATCTTTGTTGCCATATTTAATACAACGTTTCGTCCTTTCAGTATCTGTCTATATTTCTGAGATGAAGTATTATGTACACTATTTATATTATTCGGACTATTGTCCTCATCTTTGTTGCCATATTTAATACAAAGTTTCGTCCTTTCAGTATCTGTCTATATTTCTGAGATGAGGTATTATGTACACTATTTATATTATTCGGACTATTGTCCTCATCTTTGTTGCCATATTTTTATCACAACATTTAGGCCTTTCAGTATCTGTCTATATTTCTGAGATGAGGTATTATGTACACTATTTATATTATTCGGACTATTGTCCTCATCTTTGTTGCCATATTTTATACAACGTTTTGTCCTTTCAGTATCCGTCTATATTTCTGAGATGAGGTATTATGTACACTATTTATATTATTCGGACTATTGTCCTCATCTTTGTTGCCATATTTAATACAACGTTTCGTCGTTTCAGTATCTGTCTATATTTCTGAGATGAGGTATTATGTACACTATTTACATTATTCGGACTATTGTCCTCATCTTCGTCATATTTAATACAACGTTTCGTCCTTTCAGTATCTGTCTATATTTCTGAGATGAGGCATTATGTACACTATTTATATTATTCGGACTATTGTCCTCATCTTTGTTGCCATATTTATCACAACATTTCGGCCTTTCAGTATCTGTCTATATTTCTGAGATGAGGTATTATGTACACTATTTACATTATTCGGACTGTTGTCTCATCTTTTTTGCCATATTAAATACAAAGTTTCGGCCTTTCTGTATCTGTCTATATTTCTGAGATGAGGTATTATGTACACTATTTACATTATTCGGACTATTGGCCTCATCTTTGTTGTCATATTTATCACAACGTTTCGGCCGTTCAGAATCTGTCTATATTTCTGAGATGAGGTATTATGTACACTATTTACATTATTCGGACTATTGTACTCATCTTTGTTGCCATATTTATCAC